TATCCATATAAATGTTTCCGCTATAAATCAATACAGTAATTGAATGTTAGTATTTTACATAGGTTAGGTATGTAAAAATTAATATAATATTAGGAACTATTTTGAATTCAGATTTTAGTCGACATAATTTGGTTAGTAAATTTTCTGTTACTGCGATAACTAATAATATTATCTTGTAAACATCGTCTGCTTTGCACGTACTACTGTAGTAGTCCGTGCTGCTTTGTAAATGGTGGCCGACTTCGATAATACGAAGGAGACGGCTATCAAGGTGTTGAATATATATACAATATATATGTGGTCCTGTTCAGGCAATGTGAACCACGCTGTTTTTTTTACTAACTAATGATATAGTTAAATCATTCAATAGAATAAAAAAAAGTGAAAATTCTAAAAAATAAAAAAGCTTGTCCTGTCAGTGGTGAATAATTTAAAAGTGCTTGGCAGAGAAAAGGTTGTCTTTAACCTTCTGGGTGTTCCGACGTCACTATTATACTGTATTGTTTCATCATCATCAGTTATAAACTGTTTGAACAGTTATCCATTTTGACTAGAGTTTAAAATAAAATACTTCATACTTTTTATCCCACCATCAAGACAAAAAAAAATCTTACTAGTTAGTAACTACTAGTAGAAGTACTAGTTATATATTAGGTACATATGCAGCCATYCATTTATTCTTTTTGCTTTCGTCATTAGAAAACCTAATAAAGTTTAAAAATAGGGATTACTAAACATTAAAATGATACTATGTACTAACTTATAGAATTTTCTTTCATTCGTTTTATCAAATTCAACCAAACTTACTAAACATTTCCTGGGCATAATATAACAATTAAACACATAATTTTCTTATATTTTCATATATTTTGTGACTTAAATAAGTACTAATGTAGTATAAGCATAGACAATAGATTTTAAGTTAAAGTACAAAGTACAAAGTAGTGGGTAAAAATTAATTGTTAATTATTATTTATACAGCGCTCTGGCTCTCGTCCAATCGTTCGAACTGCTACTATTGCCCGTCTATTAGTATAAGGTATAWGATTATAGAAAATCTCAATGGTGTGTTTTTTCTTTTTGCACGAACTACTTATAAAGTGAATTGYTTAAGTGATCTGTTCATCACTGAAAATTGAGCATCATACTTCATTGCATCAGGCTAAATTAATAAATGAAATATTATTTTCTATTCTTGTGTTGTAATTAAGTACTCGGTACAAAAATTACGTGTAGTTGATAGTGCTGTGATTTACGAATAATATACGAAACTTTTTTGCAGTTCATAGTTTTCAGTCTACGAATACTTTTGATGTGATAATAAATGCCATAGGTACGTAAGAATACTTAACTAGTTATTCATATATTGTTATATTTAAATATTTTGTAATGTATACTGTGCTTATATATTTATTACAATAAATCTTCCAAATACAAATACGTACATATTCATCATGAAATCAAATATGGCGTATTAGTGACAACACCAACACGTTGAGCGATATCTAGATTATTACAATGTAAMTTCATAGCAATTGGCTATAACATAAGTATATTATTATATTTGAATATTTGAATAGAACATTATATTTATTTCTGCATCGGAGAAAAGGGAAATAATGATAATCCTACTTACATCAAGCACATATGATAAATTGCATTATTCTCAGTGGCGCCGATGTCAATTTCAAATTGATGGTTATGCATAACGATAAAATCTGTGATTGGTAGTAACCACCACCATTTTCCCCCAAATAGACCCGTGGGGGCGATGATATACCCACATGCAACACGCTTATTTATAGCTGTCACGATCACAAAATAATAATTACAATGTTTGACTTGATTTTTCATATATATTATTTTAAAACACAAACAAACTAAAAATAGTGATTATAGTACTAATATAGTTGTCCATCACTTAGGTATTCRTTTACATARTTTTATTTAAAAATTAAGTCCATTTAGTATTTACCAAATGCCTTATGTTATTGGAAATAACATTGAACAAAGAATACAGTTAACTTTTTACTATACGTACATCATACAATGTAAACAGTTTTCTCTATTCATACTAGGAGAATAAGACTACCAATCATGATGAACTTTACTTCCATCCTGGACAGTTGCACTTTACCACAAATTAGTAAATCGAAGACCGAATCACGAGGGAATGATTTAACTGCTAAAAATCTTCTGGCATTGGTTGACATGGGTCCAAAGTATAAAAGTATTGTTT